GTGGAGTCTTTTTATCACCCCCAAGTCATGTAGCCAAGTCAGTAATTGGTGGTTTCAAGAAAAATCCATCAGTGAGCAAAGTGGATTTGGTTGTCACCAAACACATTTTAAACTTTAAACTGCATATCGTAAATCCAAGTTACCCTAAAGCGACCAATAGTCAAAGATAGGTACTAAAGCCTCTCCAAGGATAATCATAAAGTTGTCCAAATCTAGCTATAAACTAACTCTGTCCTATACAGTACATCAAATACAAATGAAGAACAATGTTGTTATGCTAGAGGGGATATAAGTAGTCTTGTGTTGTAACAGTAGCAGTTTTTCATGACACCCAGAAACACACTTGCAACTCTACTACTGTTGCTTTATTTCTTGGGAAGATCCTAGAGTCTTTTTCATATATGGAAACCAGGCTCTTCAATGCCAATCTGGAACCATCCAAAACAGAATCCCTTGAAGACTGGGACTAATAATTTATATTTTGAGTAAGTTTCTTAAAAGTTTTAGATTCCTTTTCCTTTTCTTTCTTTTCTTTCTTTTTTATTTAGGATAAATTTAAATTTATCCTAAATTGGAGAAACATTAGCTTTGCCATCTTGAGGGAATTAGCTATAATGTCAATTTTGTCCAATTATGTAATGTCATGTTATGTGGTTTTTTTCGAGGTCCTGTTTTGAAGTTTTTAAAAAACAGTTATCCAACCTCTAGGTGTGTTTGGCTATCCCAAGACTAGAAAGAGGGGAGACTGCCTTCAACCAGTGGTGAGTAGTGCTCACCTGACCCCAGAACTCAAAAGGGGGACTTTGTGAGAGTTGTGCATACCATATCTGAACCCTGAGAACTTCAGGTCCTGGCAAGTATTTATGGTTAGGGTTATTACAGAGAACTCAGAGCTATCAGACAAGTCAGTTCCTTCAAGCTGACTACAAATTACTGAGCAAAACCAAAGAAAGGTGGCAACAACTCTGATCTGAGGACTGGTAGCTACTTCTATTTTTTGAATCAAATGTTGTGCTTGTAAGATCCAGATGTATTGGAGGAGGATGAAATTTGCTATCAGACTTTTTTCCAATTAGGTCAAGTCAAATTTAACATGAATTAAGGAATAAAATTCTATGCAATATGTCTTGGGGTAATTCATAACATTTGCAATACCACATCTTGATCATATAAAGCTTCATCAAAATGCTTCCCTGATTGTTTTAAAATTAGCATAAATAGTAATTCTATTATAATTCAATGAAATTCTACCAGGTGAAATTCTGTTTGTAATTCAGTGCTCAGTTCAAATGTCTCTTCTTCTGCAAAGGCTTTTTTACTTCCCATGGGAAAAATAGCTGCTCTATATGTATCTGACATTTTACACATAACTCTATTGTAGGACTTATAGTTGGCTGTTTACATGGCTAGTTTCATATGAAGCTCCTCCCTTAGGATATAGACATTGCTTCATTCACCTGTATATTCCCAGTTTTTAAAAAGTACTTGGCAAAAAACAGATAGTAGTGTTTATTACAGAATGAAATAAATTAGTAGATTCTAGTGTAAGAGGTTACAACAACTGTTGGGATGGAGAAAAAGTTGTTAAAATTAGTTAATGTATAAAGCATTTTCTTTCTTTTTTTTTTTTTAAATGAGAAAATGTGGCGTAGTCTGCCTTTTTTAGGAACATTCTTATTTTATTTTTACAAATAAATTAGTAGCATTGGATTACATATAATTGGTCCACAAATTGTTAAACTACTGTCAAGCTATATATCATGGCAGAAAAGATCCCTGTTTTTGTATCACAAGAAATAAAGTGTGAGATTTAAGTGCTGAATTAAAATGTGCAATTTCACAAGAAGAAAATATCAGAAACTTTTTAACAGTTTCAAAAAGCACTTTCTCTAAGAAATATACTAATTTCTCCATAGCCAAAAAAACAAAAAAAAAACAAAAAAAAAAACGCATTTCAATGGAAATAAAAATCACAGTAAACCTGTTTTTATTCATTAATATTATAATGTATGGAGTATATATTAAAAGTGGCTACCTTTTAAAGTGATTTAAAGTATCTTTTATTCAACTATTAAAAATAAAATGTATATTTTACTTCAGTAGAATACACTATTTTTCAAGGAAGAATTATTTCTCATTTTAACTAAAATTTAGTAAAAAAATTACCCATAAATCAAACACCTACTTAAAGGCAATGCGTTTACTTTTCTGAGTAATTCTACTGATTTTTAGTATTCTGTTCCCGTGAGTTTTCACATTTCACAACTACCGCTACCATGGACTATGCCCTTGCTCTGTGCTTGACATGGCACCAAGCAAGTGGTAAATGGGATTTCATTTTCCATTCATGTATGAGACCAAAAGAAACACTGAATCAATATGGATCATTAAAACATAAGTATACATTAGAATGAGGAATCTATATTGTGAAAGACCCTAAAGATAAGATTTGCAACATCATCTGAATATATGACCGAATCATAGCTGCATGACTATTGTTATATAGCTAAGGGCACAGTCTGAGGAGTTGCTGGCTCAACTCATTAGAATGTTAAAGTGACTTTTATGCATACAATAGATCATGGCATATTAAATTGTTAGAAATGTAATTGTATTAATATTCATCTATTTTTAATCAAGGAGAATTTTTAAAATATTTTACCAAGTTAAAGATCCCTAAACAACAGAAATGATCATTCGGCAGTGGACAGAAAATATACAATAATCCCACAATAGAGCATTTCCAGGGAATAAAAGGCATGACCTTGAGTTCCAGTATTACATCATATCAGGTTTTTTAAAAAAGTTTTTTTATCTTAATATTTTAACATAGGATAGAAAATTGTTTAATGTGTGAGATAAGCCCTAATGAAAGTGAAATAGAGCTGTAGGAGAAGTTTGAGAAAGCCCAAAAAATGTAGACAAAAGAAAAATGTTTGTACCTGAAAGCCAAGACTTCTGACTCCTGAGATTAACCTGATAAAGAGGTCACTTTTGTCTTTGAACTTCTTCCCAATCAGCTGTGATCTCAGTCAAACAGAAGAGCGGGATGACTGTCAGTCAACCCCAGCTCTCAAACACAATGGCCATCTAAGTGGACCTACTTATACAAGAAAAAGAGGCCTGGCAGGAGGCACATTGTATGAAGGAGGATAAAAATTGGAAGAGAAATAGTCTAAGTGGAGGCAAGGCATGAGTCCAAAATGAGGTTGGAAAAGCTTTTCCAAGCCAGGCCATTGCATGCAACCATGGCAGAGTGAGAGCATTCATTAGATCCAGTGACAAACAATCCTGAATTCTCATGGTGGTTTTTCTATTAACCAACTGCATTGACCTCGACGACCTTGGGTGAGTCCCTTCTTCCTAATTACCTCAATTTAACAAACGTGTATTAAGTAACTATTATGTTCAAGGCATCAGGCTATGCGCCAGAGAGTGGTGTTTCTCTATGGGTGGGACAGGGAGTAATTGCATCAGGATCTTCTGAGTTCCACTCCAGAATGAGCAAAGGGGAATCTCTGGAGGTGGGTAATTCCTGGGTAATATTTAGGCATGAAATTTATCTGGCAAATAAAAAGATGAGTGAGATGAAGTTCAGACCTTCAAAAATGTTCTGATCTACTTTTCTTCTCTTTAAAAAGGACCTTTGTACTAGCTGACTTCTAAAAGCTTTCTGCTGCTCAGTTTAATTTTTTCTTAACAAAATTAACATTTTACAAGGTATTGTCACTTAGTAAGTATAATTTTAGTTACGTGACCTAGTTCTACTTACCTAGTCATTTTTGACGTACTTTGAATAAACTGCATGATTTCTTAGTTGCATATTCTTACTTTGAAACAAGTAAAAAAGTGTCCAACCATCAAGAATATTACATTTTTGGATGATTTTCAACAGCACCCAGAAAGGCATGGAGTCAGGGGTTAGTGGACTAGGTTCTGCTTCTCACTATTTTCCTGACTTTGGCCATACGACTTCACCTCTCTAGGCCTCAGCTCCCTCTTTCTAAGATGACAAGATAAGGGGCTAGATTATTCAGATGATAAAGTGTCTATGTACTCAGATAAAGAAAAGCCTCTATGGCTCCTAAAATTTATGCAAAGTTTTATGAATCATTTCTCCTCTGTAAGCTCATAACAAGGTCTGTGAAAAACAAAACTCATTTATATGAACATCACTCTTAGGAAACTTACAAACTCATATAATCAATCCCTCTGCATTTCATTGGTTTTACTAGTGAATCATCTGTTGCATTCATTTATTCCTTTCCATTCCTACTCTAGCTGTCCTAATCCACTCCTTTTCAAATAACTCACTTGCATTAATACAACAACTTTCTATATCACCACAAGAAGCATACCAGAAATACAGATATCATGATGTCATTCACCACTTTAAAATTCTTTAGTGGTTCTCCTGTGCTTAAAGTCAAAGTCCAAACATGTAGAGGAAAGTCACACAGAACCACTCTGCCATCCCACCAGAGTCCTTGTCGATTCTCATTTATGACAACTACTCTAATGGGCCGTTGTGCCTACCTACCAACCCCACATACTTGTCCTATGGTTTTCTGCAAAGGTGTCATCAACTTTCATGTTTCCTGTGTTCTACTTTAGGCCTGAAATTCCTTTCATCTTCTTGCCTGCCTAACAAACTTTATGCACCCTTTATAGATATCTCTATTATTTCAATAATTATATTATGTTTTATTATATTTTTCCATGTTTCTTCCCTGATAGATTTTACACAAAATAAAAGCTGGGACATTTACCTTTCTATTTTTAGGGCCTACAGTAGTGCGTCATCCACGGTAGATGTTCAAGAAATGATTGCAAATATACATTTGTATGAGGTTTATGCATACTCCTTGACATGAGGACTAAAAAGTGTGCATTGTAAATTAACATTGAGAAGACATGAGCTAATCATTCTCATTTGAGCGATGGACACATTGGAAAGGCAAATAGTCAGGGACAAGGTTTCCAAGTGAGGCAGTTCCTACCTGTTAGATCTGCATTGGGCCACCATCCCAAGTCACAAGCTTTGCAGGTGAACTCGTCTTGCACATATTCGTTCTCTTTGCAGGCCGTGCAAATCCAACAGCAACTCACTTCTCCCTTCCGTATAACCTATAACATAGATATTTCATTAATTTTAAAGATAGTTTTCCCAGAAAAGTTTCTATTTCAGATGAGGGCTTGTTTTCAGACTATGAATAAAGAAAAAAAGACTATGAAATAATCTTATATACTGAGGAATCTTAAGAATGTGTATACTTGAGTATTTTAGAGTTCAGATGGAAATGTCAATTCACTCCGTGCTGGGTTTGGAGGCTTTTCAATAATAATTTATTCTATAGAGTTATTTGACTACATTTTTTTTGCAGAGTTAAAAATGAAACAGTTTAATTTAATCCTTGTTTATATTAATATTTATTACTCTCAAAAAAGTAAAAAGTATACATTTTTCCTCTCTGAGAAAGTAGTTTTACCAAAAAATGTCTATAATAAAATCTTATTAATTCATAAAAGTTAAGTAATTATACAGTTTTGTTGTAATTATGAAAATCTGATTTATTAGACAATTTCACTCAAGAGCAACTATATATACGTAAAAACAGAATGATACCTAAGAATACAGAATCAAGTATTGCCCTGCCTGACTTTCTCTAGTGAATTCAAAAGATCATAACAAGTATTGGTAGCAAAATTACTAGTTCAAAATTACTGGAGAGCTGCTTAATATCTGAGCAGTTTAAACTTTCCCCCATTTTCAATTTGTTTGGTGAACACTTTCACCCTCCATAGTACAAAAATAAACATAAAAACACATTGCATTTAAAGTGAGTGTTTTGTAGACAGCACACAATTTGGTTTTGCATTTATCTCTAGTCTGGCAACTTCTGCCTTTTATTGTTTAGTACATTTACATTTTCTATAATAATCAGTATAATAAATCAATCATCTCTTAGTTTTCTTTTATCTGTCCTATCTGTTCTTTTTTTCTGCCTTCTTTTTAGCATTCTATTTTATCTCTATAGTGGCTTATTAGTTAGGCCTCTTTGCTATGTTTCAATGGTTGCTCTAAAGTTGACAATATGGACCACTAATTTATCACAGTGTACATTCAGATAAGATTATACTACTTTATTTATAATGTAAGAACCTGACAGTAATATTCTTCCATTTTCCCCTCCCATCCTTTAGGTTATAGTTTTATACATTTTACTTCCACATATTTATTTAATGGACCCTCACCAAATGAATTATTATTTTTGCTTTAAACAGTCGTCTCTGAAATATGTTTTTTAAAATAAGAAAGACATTATATCTTATATTTACCCATATATTTACATTTCTAGTTCTTTTAATTACTTTGTAAAGGTCCATATTTTGGTCATATTTTCTTCTTCCTGAAGACCTTTCTTCAACATTTACAGCAGTGCCAGCCTGAGAATATGACCTCCCTCATCTTTTATTTGTTTGAAAAAGTATTAATTTTGCCTTAGTATTTCAAAAATAACATTTTCACTTGGTATGGAAGTTTAAGTTGAGTATGTATGTGTGTGTGTATATATATATATATAATTTCAGCATGTTATGTCATTCCATTGTCTTAGGGAATAGAATTCTAGGTTAAAGATTATTCTTATTATTATTATTTCTGCTTTCAGTGCTTTAAAGATGTTACTTCTTTCTTTTCTCACCTATAGTTTCTGATAAGAAGCCTGCCATAATTGTTATTTCATTCCTCTGAATGTATCAGCCCTTTCTTATTTTGGATAATATTAATTTTTTTTATCACTGGTTTTTAGCAACTTAATTGTAATGACTTCTTTGTGTTTATCCTGCTTAGAATTTGCTGAGCTTTATGGATTTGGGTTTACATTTTCATTACTTTTAAAATTTTACAGCCATTATTTCTTCAGGTTTTCTTCTGATTTGCTTCACTCTCCCATCCTTTTGGAGCTTCAGTTGCACTTACGGTCTACCCCCCAGGTATTACTCTGAAAGTAACTGAGAGTCTGCTCATTTCTTTCAGTACTTAATTTTTTCTCTTTGTGCCTCATTTGCCTGTTTCCTATTGCTATGTTTTCCAGTTCATTGACCTGTAGTTCTACAACAACTAATGTGCTGTTAATCCAATCCATTAAAATGTTTTTTTCTTAGATATGTTATTTTTCATCTGTATAACTTCTATTCTGTTATTTTTTATATTTTCTTTTTTTTCCTTTTATATTTGTATCTTCTTTTAAATCTTTTAGCATGTATTTATCCTTGTGTTTTAATGCCCTTGACTGCTAATTTCAACATCAATGTAATTTCTGGAACTGTTTCTATTGCTTGGTTTTCTTCCTGGTAATGTGACACATTTTGCTGCTTGGTCAAACCTGCAAATTTTTGGCCAGATGCAAGACATTGTGTGTATTAAGGTGTAGAGTGCGGATTTATTTTTCTTCCTTTTTAAAAAGAGTGTTGGACTTTGTTTGAGCAAACAGTTAAGCAACTTACAGCTCAGTTTGTTCCCTTTGAGCTTTGATTTTAAACTATTGGAGCAAGTCTAGAATAGTCACTGCTCGAGGAATAGTTTCGCCTCATTATTAAGATGTGACCTTCCAAGAGCTTTTACTTAATTCCTTATGTATTCAGCAAGATATCTCTACTCTGGCTGGTGAAAATTGGAAAATTCCTGGCTCTATGTCAGCTTTGGGAATCCATCTCCCTAGTAAGTGTTCCTTACCTGGACTCAAAATTCCAACCGGCTGACATGTAGACTAGTATTCAATCAAATACTCAAGGGAATGCCTAGGCTAATTTCTGTGACTCCTTTTTTGCACAGATCCATCATCTTCCATACTTTGCACTACAAATTCTAGCTATTTTGGTCCTCCCAAACTCTGATTCTGTCTTCTTAAATTAGCAATATGGCCAAGCTCCATTTGTTTTCTCTCTCAAATGAACAACAATCAGGAAATTGTTTCTGTCTTTCTGTCTCCAGGCAGAAAGCATGAGTGATTTTAGGGTTCACCTTATTCATTTCCCCTCACTTCCATGAACTCAAGGTCATGTACTGTTTTCCAATGTCTGAACACAGTTGTTTTGTATATTTCATCAAGATTTCTAGTTGCTTATGGCAGAAGGCTAAGTCTGGACTCTGTTAATTCCTCATCTCTGGGAACAGAAGTTTCTCTCTAACACAATAAAAGTGATCAAATATTCCCATATGTAAAATCAGAAACTAAACTCTAATTACTGCCATACTTTAAAATGATAGAAACTCTAGCCTTCATAAAAATAAAATTATCTTCCTGCACATCAGGTTGACATTTATACCACTGTTTTAGAATTACACAAAAAGATTAAATGACAGAATATTTTCAGCAAGTATATAAGGTTTTCTATTTCTACTTGTACTTTCAAATAACTTTTGAAAGTAGAGCCAAATTAAGTCTTTTTGAAAAAACTCACACCTATCCTCAAAATAGACATGAGAAATTTAAATTATAAAAGATATCTTTTCTAAATGATATAAGAAAAATTGAATTAATAAAGAGATGCTACTGTCTTACTTTAATTAGGATAAGCAGTACAGTAAGAGCCATCACAAATTACTGTATTTCACTTCAACCAGCTGTATCTTTCTCTCCATGTAAAATTAGTACTGCTAATTAGACAAATTCAAAAGACAATAATGCTAAACAAATTTACTCATGCAGGATGACTCGTGAAAGTAGATTCTGCAAATAACTAGTACATGGAAGCTCTTTGACATTAGTTTTTGACTGACTGAACACATTAATGAATAAGTTATTAGCTGATACCTTTAATACAGAATGAAAAATAGAGATGTTTAAATGGAGTTACTTTTTTAATCTTCCTTCTTTATACACCAAGTGCATCAAGCATGTGTACTTTCACCATATAATATCTTTAGGATGAAATGTATCCTTTCTATCTTCATAGTCACCCCTCTAGACTCAGACTTTATTACTTTACACTGAAATTATGCTCCCTGCCCATAGTATGATCCATTATATATATCTAGGGATTTATATACCATGCCTCTAATTTCTTCTCACTCCAGAGTAAGATGCACATAGCTACCAAGATCATCCAAATAGCCTGTAGCTCCTCAGAGAAAAGGACTATGCCATCCTTTTAGTGATCAAGGCACAGAAATATATCAAAAATACATAGCCAATGAATGAGTGGTGAATGGAATATTTTTCAAAAATATAATTAGATCACTCAAAGAACTTTGGTGCTTCCTATTTTAATACCTTTGAAATACAAGTTCTTCAGTCAGGCATTCACTTGGCCCCTAGTTTTTGTTTCTGTACCTGATTTTGTTTGTTATTAATTTCTTACATTTGTATGTGAAAAAAGGAAGGGCAGTCTCTGTGCTTAAATGCATATTACCTTCTATTTAGAATGTCATCTTTTCTACATAAGACCCTCCATGTTGCTGCTTTCAAGATGAGACACAAAAGTCACATGCTTCAGTGAGTATTTTAGAGCAGTGAGTCTTTCAAAACATTATTTTATTTGAAACTCTTAATCAACAAAAATATAGTTGATATTTTATTACCACAGGTTAGCTTTTGTCCTCTAATTGTTTTACAAATATGTGGTAGATAAGTTTCATTCAGACAAGTTGTTTTTTAAAAAAAAATGTCTTAAGTTATTATATCTTATATATGTTCTAGTTTCCCCAAAGTGACAAATTTAAAATTATTTTTATATTTTTATTGTAACTGATATTTCTTTTGTATGATGTATACATTCAATAAGTGAATAAGTGTTTAATTTTTGTCACACTAAAATGCTTTTTATGTCAACTCTGAGTCATAGTAAAAGTTTTGACATTTCACTGAAACCTCCCTTGAAGGACTAAGGCTTTCTAAGACCTACCTGCTTTGATTCTTTTTACATCCTGTGTACATGGTTCTATGCTTGTCAGTGAGACTAGGTGATCTGCTGCTACACACAATGTTATGATTCACTTTATATACACTGCTAGTGTCTTAAAACATTTATAGGAAATTAAATGTCTACTTTGTGACTGCACTTCTGAAGCAACATGAAAAGGATTTGTTTAAATTAAAATTTTGTTTACAGAATGGATGAAA